AGTTCATAAAAATGTAAAACTTAATGCGGGCAGCAAACATTCTAAACAAAGTCAAAGACAAACGGGAAATTGGGAAATACGTTTGCAACATATATGCCACACAATTTTACCATTTTAAAACATGAAGTGTTTCTACCAATTATTAATAAAAGACAAACTACCACAAAAGGGGCAAAAAAATACAAACTGGCTATTTGCAAAGAAGAAATACAAATGACATTGAGTTTTACTTCCCTCTGTGAACATGTGTGCCCATCAGTAAGTTCCAGTTTAACAGCGAGTCCATGTGGTATTTGTTTTCCCATTCTTTAGATATTTCACTTAGGATAATGGTCTCCAGTTTCATCCAAATTCTTGCAAAAGACCTTAATTCATCCTTTTTCATGGTGTAGTAGTATTCCAGATATATGGTATTTAATTGCCAGGAAAATTAATCATCTGTTTAATGTTTTGTATTTAATTTTTAGTTTTATGGCATTGTGTTCAGATGATATGGCCTATTACCTTTCTACTTGGGAAGAACTTATTGAGATTTTCTTTTCTCAGCATAATAAATTTTTGAAAATATTGTACAAACATTGAAAAAAAAGAAATACAAATAACAAATACAGTCATGTACCACATGACATTTCAGTCAATGACAGACTGCATACATAACTGTGGTCAGAACAATAGTCTATTTCATGTAGCCTAGGTGTGTAGCAGGCTATCCCACCTAGGTTTGTGTAAGTACACTCTGTGGTGTGTGCAAACACAACACCACAATCACCTAACAACATTTCTCAGAATGTATCCTCATCAGTAAATGACACATGACTGTATGTAAAAACCTAGTCAACCATAAACAAAGAAGTTCAAATTAAAAGATAATTCAATATTTTATCTCATTTTCAAAGATACAAAGATATATTTATAACACCCAATGAATTCAAAGATATGAAATAACAGTCATTCTCATACACTGTCAATCGGGATGTAAAATAATGCACATTTTTTGGCAAATTTTTTACAAAATTTTACCATTTTTTACCAAATTTTAACTTTGCATTTGTAATTCCTTTAGTGCACATGCACATATATACATATACACACACGTACACAAATTACTTTCATGAATTTAGCCAGTGGGGTTAATTTCAGATGTATGAAAAGATATATAGATATTAATCTCAGTATTATTAGAAGTTGCCAAAATAGGATATAAATTATATCCACAGGGATTTGGTTAAACATATTATAATTTATACATAGAATGGAGTATTATGCAAACTTTGAAAAG